CTCTCTCTCTCTCTCTCTCTCTCTCTCTCTTTATATATATATACATATATATCTGTCGGGGTACGGGGCCAGGGGCCTCTGGCCAGGTGCCTCGACTCGCCATGGTGGGAATCCCCCCCCCCCGGGCCTCTCCAGAGCCGCTCCGGGGCATCTCCCGAGCGGCTCTGGACGGACCCTGGTGCTGTTTCAGCACCAGGAATGGTTCCCATCTTCGACCCATGTCGCCAAAGCACGTGGTGGAGGTTTCGGGAGGCCTGCAACATGGCTCCGGACGCTTCCAGGAACACTCCCAAGAGAGCCCCGGAAGGCCAAAATTGATGGTTTTCCGAAGGTTTCGGAAGGATTTTGGCCTTTTTTGTTTTTTTCGGTTGTACGACGCTCCACGACGGCCCAGGAGGTCTCCAGGTCCACCCCCAAGCAGCCCCAGAGGCCCCCCAGACAAGCCCAAGGCGGCCCCGGAGAGCCCAAGGCTGGCCCAAGAAGCGCCCACGATAGCCCACGAAGGCTCCAAAACAAGCCCAAGAGGGGCCCAAGAGAGGGACTGCGTACCGAACACGCAGGGCTCCCGCCTCAACAGTGACCCCAGAGGCCCCAGGCAGCCCCCAAGAGTCCTCCAACATGGCTCTAAACGCTTCCAAGGGCACTCCCACGAGGGCCCCAGCAGGCCGAAAATTGATGGTTTTACTTTAGTGTTCGAAGGGTTTTGGCCTTCCGATCTTTGCGGCTGTCCGACGCTCCTAGGCGGCCCAGGAGGCCTCCGAGAACGCCCCCAAACAGCTCCAGAAGCGCCCAAGGCCGCCCCGAGGCGGTCCCGGAGAGCCCAAGGCTGGCCCAAGAAGCGCCCAGGGCAGCCCACGAGTGCCCCAAAACAGGCCCGAGAGGTGCCAAGACACGGACTGCGTCCGTAAAACCCCAGGCCTCCGCCTCAAGACAGCCCCAGGAGGCCCCAGGTAGCTCCCAAGAGGCTTCAAACATGGCTCAAGACGCCTCCAGGAGCACCCCCAAGAGGGTCCCAACAGGCCAAAATCGTTCGTTCTACGTAGGACTTGGAGGATCTTGGCCTTCTTGTCTTTTCGGCTTTTCGACGCTCCCATAGGGCCCAGCGCGCCTCCAGGTCCGCTCCCAGACAGCCCTGGGCGGGCCCAGAGAGCCCCAGAGAGCCCGCAAGACCGGCCCTACACAACCCAAAAGTTCCTCGGCAGGATAGTCCGGGAGGGGGGAAGACCGGGGGAGCCTCTGGCGCCCCATGCTCCGGGAACGCTCCTCCGGAACATGGAGTGCAAACGATGAGGATCGGGGATCTCCGTTCCCATGTTCCAGAAGTGCGCTTCCGGAACACGTGGCTTGCAGTGCACGCCGCCGTCTTCGTGGTAAGAATCGTCGCGGGCATCGCACCTGAGCGGCGACCTCAACTAGAACCTGAGCGCGCGCGAAGCGCGCGCGATGGTTCTAGTGTATATATATACTCATATACATATATAAATCTACATATGCAAATATATACCTCCATATATATACACATATGTATGTATGTATGTATGTATGTATGGATGGATGTATGTATGTATGTATGCATGCATGTATGTATGTATGTATGTATGCGTGCATGTATGTATGTATGTATGTATGTATGTATGTATGTGTGTGTGTATGTATGGGTGAGTGAGTTTGTGAACGTTGATTTTCAGATAGGTTAGCGAAGGGGCCATAGGGCGGGATATGTCTTGTTGTTTCGGACGTTGTCTCCAGGTCTTGCCTGCGCCCGAAACCGTTTCAAGTTCAAGGCACCATGACTCACTGACAGAGTTTCGAGGTGCCTCCGCGGGCACCCTCTTGCAGGTCTCTCCGCGGCACCCGAGGGGTGCCGCTGTATTCTACCAGACACCAGAAGTGCCCGCCATGACGCTAGGGGCCGACTCGGCCGCGGCGGGTGCGCCGCCGGGACTGGATGCCACCGTTGCAGGCGAACCGCCGCCGCTGGCCCCCGAGGGCGCCGCCACCGACGTGAACCAAGGCAGCTGGTGGCTCGCGGCGGCGTGGGGACTCCTCGCCCTGGCAGGCGGAGGAGGAGCCCTGGCAGCCCAGCTGGGCTCGACAGGACGGGCCCGCCTGGCGGGCCTCACCGTGTTCGGGCTGGTGGGCTTCCTCGCCACAGTGAGGGTCGTGCGCCAGGCGTGGTGGCTCTACTGCGACCAAGAGGCGACGAGGGCGCAGATGGCCGCCCTCACGGCCCAGATGCAGCAGCTGGCCCTGTCGGGAGCGATGGGCATGCCAGGAGGAGGTTTCCCTGGCGGCGGCCCGCCTGACGAAGTCATGCCCGGGTGGGCCGACGTGGAGCCGCCGCCGCCGGGGATCCCGCAGGTGCCGGGCGTGACGATGACGGGGCCGGCCGCAGGACCCATCGGTCCTCCAGTCTCGCTTCTGCTTAAGGATTATTGGATTATTTTGTGTTGCTGGTTTTGCTGCATTTTAGCCTCCAAGATTTAGCCAAACTGGCAAACCAAATTATTACCCCAGTGCGACCCTACGTAGAAGTTGGAGCCCCTAGGAAAGCAGCATTAGTTGCTATACTATGCTATGCTATGCTGAGCTATGCTGTGCCATGCTATACTGCGGTATGCTATGCTATGCTATGATATGATATGCTGCGCTATGCTATGCTATGATATTGTATGATAAAGTATGTTGTGTCATGCTGCGCTGCTCTATGCTACGCGATGCTATGATATGCTATGTTATGATATGATATGCTATGCTATGATATGATATGATATGCTGCGATATGCTATGCTATGCTACGCTACGCTAGGCTATGCTTGGCTATGTTATGCTATGCTATGCTAATGCAGCGCTGCGCTATGCTAAGCTAAGTTAAGCTAGCCCTCTAGGAGGAGCCCAGGTAGGGAATTACACCCATGCTAAAGCTCAGCGAAGCTAAGATGAAGGTAAGCTAAGCTAAGACAAACCTGAGCTAAGATGAAGCTAAGCTAAGCTAAGATGAAATAAGCTAAGCTAAGATGAGATAAGCAACGCTAAGCCAAGGGGACGAAACTGGGGGAACCGCGGGGCGGATACCGGGGGAACCGCCCGGGGCGAGCCCCACTGCCCGGCCCATTTAAGAAAGAGAGTAAGAACCCTCTAGGCAGAGCCTAGGTAGGGAATAAAAGAAGAAGGAGCAGAAGTCAGGCGGAGGGAGGGAGGAGGTTGGCCGACAAGCATAAGTTACAGGCCCTGGTCCGCCCCATTTTGGGGTGGCTTCGAGGCTTGCAGAGTGGTGGGGATGTCTCAAGCGATGGCGCGGGCGAGGTGTTGGCGGGTCGGTGACGACGCCATTGGGGCCAGAAGAGGGTCGCTCCCCGCGCGCGTCCTTTTGGGGGCAGCGGTGGGGCAATAATTCTGAATGTTCTGCTGACTACCTGTCTGTCATCATGATGGGCCGTGATGGGCCACCAGGCCTTGGCCAGGCAAAATTGGCTTCGCCAGCAGACCCCAGGGCAAGTATATACCAGGACCCCCCGTCTTGGTGGCTGTGAAGTCTTGGGGGATGTCTCAGGGGGGCAGTCTTGTGTGGGGCGTCTTGGGATACCGTCTAGGACTTCACGAAAAGCACTGGGATCGACAGCGTCTGTGGCCAGCAAGGGTCCATGCGTGGTCGGTCCAGTACGCCTGTCCATTGTATGGAGCGCACAGTCATCATGATCAATCATCCTCGTCATGATCACCGCCATCGCAATCACCAGCACCATCACCACCGCCATCAAATACTGATCACGGGCAACCTTGCCTTATCACCATCATTACCATCGGCATGTCAATAGTTACGAACATCATCATAGTCATGTCATCATCATCATCATCATCACCATCAGTATCAGTATCAGTATCAGTATCAGTATCATCATCATCATCATCCTCATCATATATGTCTCTTTGGTATCGTCGTCAACGTCGCCGTCGCAGTTACAAAGATCATCGTCCTCACCATTGGCGTGACTGTCGTGATCACCGTCGGCAGCTTTTGGGCTTCGAAGATTTTCGTTCGCAGGTCAGCGCCCAACTCGCCAAGAGGCCACCTCGCCACTGCCGACAATGTCCGCCCGCTCTCGCAGCCCCCAGGAGTACAGGATGATTTACATGGATGGCGACGTCAACTCAAACCCCGACAACCTAGTGATCCGTCGCCCTCTTGTCCGCCCACCCATTCGGCCTGGTCTTTGGCGCACTCCGGACGCCCACCCACTCGTCAGGCTTGTCCATGATAGCCATAAGCAGGTCATGGTGCTAGCCCCCCCGCACCAAAACGTGTTGTTCTGCACCTTCTGTGGAGCTTACTGGCGCTCGGACGGAGGCCACCATACTAAGGGCCTGATCAGCAGGTGCAACGGGGTGGTGACGGGCGGTTACCGGAGGACCTGCCAGTCGCAATGGGGGGAGGTACGTTCCTTAACCCGAGGAGGCTCACATAGAAGAGGAAGGAAGGAAGGAAGGAAATAATGAAGGAAGGAAGGAAGGAAATAATAAAGTAAGCGAGCGAAGGAGAAAGGAGGAGGAGGAGAAGGAGGAGGAGGAGGAAACGGAGGATAATGAGGAAAATGAGGAGAAGAGGGAGGAGTGGCAGCAGGGCGAGGCAGGAGAACGAGGAGGATGGAGGAGCAGGCGGAATACCTACGGCATGGGAGTGCCATGGAAGTCTCCTGGAGGTCAGGAACGCACCTCTCCCCTATTTCGGGTGTTCCGAGGACCGTGATGAATCGCTTGGCCCGCGGCGAGAATCCCAGCGGCGGGGCGTGGCCAGCCCCCCGAGGAGTCGGGCACATGGTCGACGCGCAGCCTGCGCCAGTGACCCCTCGACCGCGCCCAGTGCCCAGCGAGTCCCCATCGCCGCACTTGGCGGCCATCGAGGACCCGTACGGCGGAACTGCCGACATGGACGTGCAGAGCAACGACGAGGAGGACAATGAGGCATCATCGTCCTCAGCGCCATCGTGGTTCGCGGCACCGTCTTCGGCTTCGACGTCGGCCGCAACACCGCCCCCGGCGTCGGCGTCTGCAGCGCAGTCATCGCCGTCGCGGCCGCCTCTCCGCAGGATGTTTGCGCTGGAGACATTGAGCTCGGAGAGTGATCGTGCCTGCGCCACCCTGCTGTGACAGAGGATTGATCGCTTCGGCTTCTGGTGACATTGCAGCAGCATGCGCGTGAGCTCAGTAGAAGCCCACTAATGGGCTCACGTTGGGCGAGCCCCTTTGCGAACCTATTTTGAGTTGGCCTCCATGGCCGTCTGCTCACGCGCGTCTTAGGCACTGTTTGTTTAGTGCATATCTAGCCCACGTCTCGCATGCGGTTCGAGAGGTCGTGGTCTACCCACGCGTGCTATGTACAACACAACGCAACCAAACGCTGCGAAACAAAAAGCATCACCATTATCTGCATGACGAACACCATCGCCTCCATCATCATCATCATCATCATCATCATCATCATCATCAACAGCAGCGGCATCAACATCATCATCATCAGCATCACCATCATCATCATCAGCACCACCACCATCAGCACCATCATCATCATCATCATCACCATCATCATCATCAGCACCATCATCAGCATCAGCAGCATCATAATCATCATCATCAGCAGCAGCAACATCATCATCAGCACCACCACCACTATCATCATCATCATCATCATCATCATCAGCATCAGCATCGTCATCATAATCGCCATAATCGTCAACACCATCGCCGCTCTGTGCTGGATGGGGGCAGGTATCGAATTCCCCCCCGCCTATTATTCACATCCCGTTTGTTCGACCCATGGGAAACTGGTGCGCTCGGACCCCTGGGGGTGGTCCTGGGCAAATCGTTGACGGGTCTGCGCCGAGTCTCGGGAGGCGTGGGCCACCCAAATCAGCCACGAGAGGCGCATATGGACGAGGGAGAGATATCGAGAGGAGGAGGAGGAGGAGGAGGAGGGGAGGGGGGAGGAGATTGAGGAGGAGGGGAGGAGTGGAGGAGAGAGCCGACGGACGAAACAGGAGGAGAAAAAGGAGGACGGCGTTGCAGGCAATGCGGCGCGAACAACATTGCGGCCTGAACTGCGAAATCCTTGGCGCTCTGCGTATCCCCACCAGCCCATCCAGAACCAGATCGCCAGGCGAGATGCCTTGATCAGGGAAGTGTAGAAGCACACAGCAGAACAACCACCTCGAAAGTGTTTCGGGGGCGCTGAAACAGCGAGAGCAGTGCGTTTCTCATGGCGTGGCGGCCTCAGTGGAGTCTTCTGGGGCCCCTCTTAAAGTTATATTGAAAGCATTTCGGGGCGGGGAATGTATCTTTGACAACGGGAGGAAGGAGGAAAGGAAAACGGGGTGAGGAAGAAAGGAAGAAGAGGATGAACCAATAGATTGCTGGGGAGAAGAAGGAGACAACGATGAAAGCGACGGCGGCAACGACGAGTCAACCGTGAAATCATCGCGGAGCTTTAAACCTACTACACCCCCCATCGCAAAGGCCCTGCAAAGACCCCTGCAACGGCCCCACAAAGACCTTGCAAAGACCATGCGATGATCTTTCAAAGACCATGCAAAGACCCTGCAATAAACTTACAGCCCAACCAATCAAGGCCTCGGACGTGAAAAGGCGAGAACGCAAACACATTGATTGCCGTTAGGTGTTTCAATGGTTGTTTCTCTTGAAGTCCTTTTGAGGCTCTTCTGGGGCACCTTCTTTGGGGGGTCTGGGAGACCTCGCTGTGCCCTCTTTGGGCGCCATGGCTCAAAGAGGGGTGGGTAAGTACTTCAGGCCCCCTCCCCGGAGGTCCCAACCGTCTTGAAGTCCTCTTGGCCGCTTTTGGGGCGCTCTTTGGCATTGGGCCATCTTGGGGCCATCCTGAGGTCTCAAGAGCTCATCGGAAGTGAAACGTCGAGAAGGGTGCTTTAGGTACTGGCTTATTGAAAGCTTTCTTAGGCACTTCTAAAAGCACTTGGAGCCGCCTTGGGGGGGGGGGGCTGTCTTGGGGTCTCTTGGACGTATGTCAGAGACATCTTGAGCCATCTTGAAATATATTGAACCATATTGCAGGCTATCTTGGACCTTCTAAGGCCCTCTTCGAGCCATCTTGGACGCTCCAGTGGGCCCTCTCCCCTCCTAGGCCCAGGGCATGAGGTGGGGGGAGGGGTGACCCCCTCCCCTGAGCAGGGGAAGGAAGGATTTGGCCAGAGAGATGGCACAACTCGTTAAACCACCTACGCTCACAGGGCTGGTTGGATAAGAAGCCTGTTTCCCAACATCGCCGATCCCCGTAGCCGTTTTGGCTCAAGAATATGATGACACGTTTTCCGCTCGCAGAGAAGCCCAGCGACGAATCGAGTATTTTGGCACTGAGAACGCACGCGCGATGTGGCTGGGCATTCTGCGTGATGTGTCAGGTCCGAGATTCCTTGGACAAAGGTGTATACGAGCGTCGACTGGCACTGACCCCAGGAGATGCATCTAAAGGAT